AAAAAATTAAAAATATAAAAAAGAGTGAGAAATGGCAAGTGGTGACAAGTGGCGGCGGAAGACGGTGGTGGAAAGTGGTGACAGTGGTGGAAAGTAGCGGGTGGTGGTGGGTGGTGGCAGGTAGGTGGTGGTGGCGGCGGGTGGTAGTGAGTGAGTAGTGGTGGTGGCGGGTGAGTGGTGGTAGTGGAAGATGGTGGTGGAAAATGGTGGCGGATGGTGGCTAGTGTTGGGTGGTATAAAAAAAAAAAAACTCAAAACTCAAAACGAAAACACATTTTTTGTGTTTTCATTTTTTGACCAAATTTATAAACTAAGACCACTGATTTATAAATCAAAAATTTTACCAAACAAATTTTTATTTGAGTTTTTAAAACTTTTGTAAATATAAACAGAAAACTGAAAACGTAAATGTTACCAAACAACATCTTATCGTCTTGGTTGGTTTATTGCATTTATTTCAGAGCTTTACACAAAATGTAAGTAAAACTGGACTTGCCTACACCACGATGGGTTAACTTAACTAGAGAAAAGACGACATAAAGGAAGAACTCGCTATGTCAACAATTCACTATGAGCTATGAACATCTTATTTTGAACTTAAAAGACCGATTCCCCCCCTATACTTAGTCAGGCCAAGTATGACAAATACTTTGTTAAGACACTGAGGCCTCGTTTGAGAAGTGACTATTTTAGTAGGCTATTTTAGTTTTTGACTATTTTAGTAGGCTAAAATTTTTGTGTTTAGGAAGATGATTGGATTTTTTTGTGGTTGGATGTAATGTTTGTGAGAGAAAAAGTGAAATGATTATAGATTTGATGTGATATTTTGTCTTATTAGCTATTTTATCCTATTTTGTCTTTTTGCAAATTTTAGCCTAAATTGGACTATTTTTTTTGTTCCCAAACACCCCCTGAATGTCATTTCATCCAGAGAGAGACAGCTACACACCTTTCTCAAGAGACTGCCAAACACTCAGCATGAACACAGACAATGACAACTATACTTCATAGAACTCTAGATCACTAGCCTGGTTGGGGAGAGAGATCTCCCAAAAAATTTACAAGTTGTTTACCGAGTAAGTTTGAAAATGTATGTTAACTAATAACTGTAAGTATATCCGCAATTGTTCATGTCAATCCGCATCTATACATTCAACAGCACACCAGAGCTAGAAAACTAAGAGCAGGACTGCATTAAATTGTCCCTTGTGATATGTTTGGATCTTGGGTTTATCAAAGAAAGAAAAATGAAAAGAAATCAATTGAGCTTGTTTCACTTCATTCTGTTCTAGTGTTTCCCCTTTTCTTTTACTTTCCCTTGGCATACTGTGATCCATACATATCCCTAGAAGCAGACAAACCCCTCCCCCTAGCAGACAAAAAAAGCTAAAAATGAAACAGGACACAGATATCAGCAATGAATTTCAAATTAGTTGGATAGAAGTGAAGACATGCATAAGGGGGGGGGGTTTAGAAAAAAAATAATTAAAACTGACGCTTAACTATATTACCTGATATACTAGTGCATGCATGCCACGTGTAATCCTATCATGCTATTGTAAGTAAATCTCCCTTATAAAGAAGAGAAGGAAGATACATTGATCCAGTATTCTAAACTCTCTTCCAAGAGAGGCTGTTTTTCCTCTTCAGAACAGGTGTATTTTTTAAGTCCCACATTAACTCTCATCACTTTTTCTTTTTATCAATCATATGACCAAAGTGACTGCACATCTGGATTGGAATACAGACCACCAATATGAGGCCTCGTGATCAATGAGTTTCCGATGGCTTCCTCTGAACCTTGCACTGCCCACTCCTTCCTGCCACACAAAAACAAGCGTATCAGATAACTACCACAAGAACTCTAAACACAAAGAAAGAAAAAGCTCAACCATTGAATATAGCAGATGGCAGACAAACAAAACCTAAACAAACTGAACCAAGCACCAAATGCACTAATATACCAGATTGATATTACGTCATCAAGCTACTACAATTGTGAAGAAAATTTTAGCATGATTATCACAGCCTACTAGAATAAGAAAAGGTTCTATAATTCACTTTCAAAACCAATATCCAAAAATGAGAAAGAGCAGTGCTTTTATGGCTCTCTAACATAGTAAAATTTGTCTCACTTCAGAAGTTACTTTCATACAAGAAGCGGAAATCATGGTTATCAAAATCTCGATCCGGATCGTACGACTCTAATTGGGCCAAATGATCCGGATTGCACTAGGATCTTAAAGTGACTACGATCCTAGTCATAAAATCATGTAGAATTGCACTACGATCCTAATTCTACTACGATCCCGATCTTACCAAAAAAAAATTCTTATTATTTATTTCTTATATACATGTTTATGTGTAAAACTATATAAGAAATGAGGCTATAAATTCTTTCTACAAACATCTCTTCTAATTTATGATAACATAAAAGATGCATTATATCAAATTAATCATTTTTCGTTAATGATTTTATAATTATTTTTTTATTTTACATTAAAACTAGAAACTTACGATCTTTGATCCGATTCTACGATCCGATCCACAAGTCCCTCCCAATGATCCTATCTAGGATCCCAATTTTAACAACCTTGATAGAAATGAGATGCAAGTTCAAGATATAAAAGGTAAGCATAGTCAGAATTGTAAAGCATATCTTGTATATGATTTCTCTAGATGCAATTTATGCATCACATCCCATTCAATTGCATACACCATGTTGCACACATTTTCAATCGGTTCAAGCATAAGCATTAAGCAATTCTAAGATTAAGGAGGTGAGTGTAGTCAGATTCGAAACACAGTGGTCTTAAATTTTGGATAAATATGTTAATTTTGTAGTCTTATGTTACGTTTACAAACTAGAAAGATGAAATGTATCAAACGGATGCACACTGGTTTCTCCTTTATAAGATAATGTTACATACACAATCAAAAAGAACCGTCATTAATATACATGTTTCTTTCAAACTTCATTGATTTGCTAAACTTCCCTTCTATGTGGCATGCAACTGTCAATCCAAACTTTGGTTGATTGGGTTGCATTCATAACTTCTTACTGTGAACCATTACAGCACAATGGTTTTTAACATTTAACAGTAGTGATATACAAACAAAAAATTCATACTGAAAACTTACACATAATGACTTGCACAAAATTTCATACACTTAATACTTATTTGAATACATTTTTACACATATACCAACATTAACCAACACCCCAGTGGATTGAGTAGTGGTTAGCATTTCCTTATATGTTAACCCCCCGAACAGGTTTTGCAACCCTTTAGTACCTTTTTTAATATACATATATATAGATTTTTTATGTAACCTCCTAGCCCCTCCCCTCGCTCTTTGTTACATACACACACACATATATATACATGGCTATGCACAAATTTTGCGAATAATATATACACAGATATCAGCAATGAATTTCAAATTAGTTGGATAGAAGTGAAGACATGCATAATTTCAAATGAAATCGTCTTTGTGCTCCACATGGATAGTTGGTTATTAAATACCTGTTGTACCAGTAAAATTCTACTAAAGAAGATGAAATTAAAGTTGCAAGAATTTTTTAACCATGAACTAACAATGATACATTTTTGGCATCACACAGCAATATCTCTCCAATGTAGAATTCCCTGGGTGAGATACGTCATGCCTTGGTTCTTGTGATGACATGCATAGAAATTTTAGAGATGAGACAGAAGGTGCTAAGTCACCATATCCTATGAAGCATGGACACTCCAAAATTAGTGCCGTGGCAGTGTCCGACACGCGGACACGCCGGGGACACTTACGGGACACGCCAGATGGTGTGTCCCTTTAATTTAATGTTTTTTTTGGAAGGGGCCACGGTGGGGACACGCGTGCCCACATTTGGACACGCTAGGGGACACGGCGGGGCTCTTTTCTGAATTTGTTATATGTATTTGGGGTCAAATTGTAATATTTAAAAAGTAAAAACTGAGGGAGTCGAAATAGAATGAACCTGCGAAGACCTTCTGAGTTGACGCCCTCTCTCAGTCGATCGAAGCTCTCTCTCTCTCAGTCGAAACCCTGCGAAGTAGATCGAAACCCTCCGAAGACCTCCGATCGAGTTGTCTCAGCCTCTGTTTCTGTCGATCCAGTTGTCTTCGACCTTCGATCCAATCGACTTCGAAGGTAAGCCCTCTGTCTCTTTCTCTTTCGCTCTCTCTCTCTCTCTCTCTCTCTCTCTGTGGTCTGTTTTCTACTGAGGGAATTGATTTTTATTTTTTTTATTTTTTTTATACATTTATATATATATATATGTAAGAGTTATTTTAATTTTTATTTATTTATAGGTTTATATATAAGTTATTTTGATTTTTATTTCTTTATCCCTTTATATATAAATTTATATATATGAAAGATTTTTATTTTTATTTTTTGTAATTATATGTTTATATATCTAAAATTGTAGTTTTTTTAAAAAAAATTAATTATAGGTTTATATATATATATATATATATATACGTTTGCGGGCAAGTGTTAGAATTTACCATTCACACTCACCTACTACACTCCACTACTCACACTCACCTACTACACACTCACCTACTACACTCCACTACTCCTCACCTACTACCCAAACCCTCTCCTATATAATGCCACTCTGATTTGTAATACAAAATATCAAACATCAGATATCAATCAATAAATCAATAATACATAAATTCTTACAAAAATAAAAAAATAAAATGACCGTGTCCCCCGCCGTGTCCGTGTCCCCATTTTTTGAAAATTACCCTGTCCCGTGTCAGTGTCCGTGTCAGTGTCCGTGTCCGTGTCTGTATCTGTATCCGTATCCGTATCCGTGTCCGTGTCCGTGTCCGTGATTCATAGACCATATCACAAATATTTTTTTGGGTTGTGGATTTGTATGTATCAATAAAAAAAGGCATAGCATAAGGGCTGATAAGTAGCACCAGTAAATTTTGTGGCAGTAGGATGGGTTATGTATGTAAACCCACACCATATATATTAGAGCTGTAAGTAAGGCCAGCAGCAGGGAAGAAGGCAGTAAGAATCTGAGATCCATGAAAATAAATTTAGAACCATTAATTTCCCCACTTTCTTCTAAGAAGAAAAGACAACGGTTAGATGTTCTTTTTTTTTTTTTTAATTTCTACACATTGTGGAATCAAAGTTTCCACTAGAATGCATTATATTGCTGTACACAGAAAAGATCACAAGTTCTTGCTCAAGGCTCACTAATACAGAAAGGAAGCAACATAGATACTCACTCAACCCCTAAAAATGTTTCAGAAATAACCAAAAAAGGCAAATAAAATACTTCTTTTGTCCCATTTACTCAAAAAGACAATCACAGATTGAGATAGACAATAATCAGAGTAGATCACTTACTTGGCCCAACAATTGCCTGGAGAAAATTCAAATGGAGGGTTAACTGCAGATGAAGTGGGACTCCCATACATCATTTCATTCTGAGAGGTCTCCTCCTGTGGCTTAAGAGAGAAATGGCCTTCACTGCCTGGCATTGGTCCAAATAAAGTTTTTGATGACCAAGGATCATCAGTAGAACCAGGAACAGAAGTAGCAAAGATTCCGCCATTTTGGCAATTGCCAACGAAAACCTTCTGAGGAGAATGAGTGCCAGAAGGGGTTAGATCATCTTTTGTGAAAAGTGATGCCATAGTCTTTTGAGACATAGGATGCACCATATCCTCCTTGTTTGACCTGTTCAGTTCTGCAGGTAATAGCCAATTGGCTGGGCCACCTACCAAACCTGGGCCACCCACCAAACCTAGACCATCTTGACCAAGAGGAGAAGTACTCCACATCTGCCATGTTCCCTTCTCATTTGCATTATTTGAATCATCCATCGGCGAAGTCTGCATATCCTGGACCTTGGGTGTACATGGAAATCGATTAGAATTAGAATGCCTTTCGTCAAAGACTCGAATCCGTGACAACGGAGATTCAATTGGCGATGGCCTGTTCCCTTCAGCTGCACACATGTTCTTTAAAGCACGTGGCTTGTCCAGTCCCATGTCTGTTGCAAATCCAGGGCCAACATCTAACTGAAAATTATCCAATGACTCTGAAACTGGCCCAAGCAAAGATACTGGGTCAGGAACATAACATGGATCTTCAAAAATGTCAGACTCTTCCGGTAAAAAATCACGAGGTGCTTCTCCAATTCGAGGAAACATGACTTCAGATGTTAATGGAGGAACTGTACTACTACTTGTTGATACGTAAGGAAAGGTAGATAAAGTAAATGGTGATGGCAGTCCAAAATTAATGGGGTTATCATATGATTGTCCAGAACATGAGTGACCAGAAAAGGGAGGGCTTTGAATTTCTGCTTGGGACTTCCCATTTGGTCTACTTATGACATTCGAGTTAGTGGCTAGAGGAACAGCTGATGAGCGGGTAAATAATTGTTGCCACGATTTTTTAGGGGCTGTTGGTTGTGGTTCAATGAGCACCTGCAGTAAACAGTCCAGCACAAACATAAAGCAAAGCTAAGTTCATTATCACCAACATGCTATGGTTAAACTACGCTATCATATAATTTAGTCTATTGGCTCATAGATCATGAAATCCCTAAAGGGGAATCATCCCAAAATTCATGCGGTGGCAAAAAAAAAGTTAATTCAGAATGTAATGCTATATCCAGTTGTTTAAAATATAACATCCAACAAATAAATGCATGCACATGCCAAGATGGATTATAATTCCTAACATTGCATTCATGTCTACCATATTTGGAGAATGATGGACATTATGTATATAAATCGCAGAATACTAAGAAATCACTTAAGTAGTTCAACAACTATTTAAGATAGCCAATGAAAATATTAAATATGTGACTAAACCAAAAAAAGTAACTATCTATAAGCAGTAAGATAACTTACAGGACGGTTGATAGTCTTATCATCCCCATTCATATTTGCCTTCCCAGGCTGAGCTAATTCTCTCCTATTAGCAAAAGTGTTGACATGATCTCTTGAAACAGTAGCAGAAGTATTAACACCCTTTCCAAATAAATTGCCTCCACTAAATGCTTTAGATGAAGATAAAAAAGTACCCCTCATGCGGTCCAGGTATCGTGTTCCAGCATTTGCCCGGCTATAATTGTTTGCACTAGTACCCTTAATCCCATGAGCCATTTCTATGCTATAATTTTTGGCACTTTCTGTGCTGGTTCTATGATATTCCTGTCGATCAGTATCACTCTTCCTGTCAAACTCCCGTTTCCGCTCACTTTCCTTACCTGCTCTCTTTTCCAGTTCCTCAGCATCTGAGTTGCTTTTACTAGACCATTTGTCTTTTTCCTTCCTTCTTTCTTCGCGCTTTTTCTCTGCTTCCTTCTTACTGTCTTTTCCCCTGGCAGCATTTGAAACTCTGCCATGATCTTTCTCCGCCTCCATCTTCTCATCCCTCAGCCTCCTACGTTCCTCCACCAATCTTGCAACCTCCTCCCTCTGCTTTTTCTCCTCCTCCTCCAATAGCTCCCTCTCTAGCCTGGCCTGTCTCTTCTCTTCAGCTTTTCTGCGAGCTTTCTCTCCTCTGCTCTCATAATTCACCCCATTTTCTCCTCGCTTAGCCAACATCGCCTTGTGTTCTGCATCTGATGAAGCATCATCTCCAGATGAACTAACCCTAGTTATCTTTCTCCAGAGCCATCCAATGCTCAAGAAAAAAGTTGTCAATATCTTACAGCCAAAAATAACAATCCGTGAATAAGATTTCTCTGCCATACAATGGGTATCATCATTGAAAAACCCGCCCCCACTCTTTCGCCAATTACTAGACTTCCCAGTAAAAGACCCACTGACCCAATTACCATTCTCTAACCAATCTTGACCGCAAATCCAACCATTATCAGACCACACCTTCCCATTTAATATCTTCCCACCTTTGCCAACCAAATCCTTCAAAATCCCAGAATTTGAGAGCCCCAATCCAGGGGGTACAGGGAGGTCCAAGACAGGTCTCTTTGAAATATGCCCACAATAGGAACACATAAACCGTCCCCCACCAGGGTTCTGATCCCGATATGGTGTCAAACAGTTCCTACACCTCCGTGTTGCCGTCTTCCGAAGCTTATGCATTTCAATCGCCTCAAACCTCTTCCTCTCTCTAAGCCGGGCGTTCCTTCGTACCCGCCAAGCAGACAACTGTGGCATCAATATCTCATACCAGAACAAGGTAACCAACAACACGAACACACAAGCCAACCTCGGCGACGTGATTTCGAACCGGAAAGCAGGTGGCAACAGTTGAGACAAGGCCCACAGGCCAATCATTGGAATTACTAACCATGGAAGCATGGTAGCAACCCGTCGAGACCACTTCTGAATTACGCACAGTATACACATTATCCTCTAACCCACACCTATCTTCCCCGTATCACCAAAATTTTTACAAACCCTAAAAATCAAATCAAACAATCACAGCTGTTCAATCTCCAATAAAAAACCCTAACCCTACGTTATTCCCCGAATCGCAAATTTAAAACCAAAAAAACAACCCTTTCCAAACCCTAACAACGCGAGTTGTGTAATTCGACCTAGTTTTCAAATGGTAATAAAATCGAAGATTAATCAGAACAGTGAGCTTGAGTTTCGTGTGAGGAAGCTCCTCCGAAACCTAGTGAAGACGAAACGAATAAACAATCGAATGGGATTAGGAGACTTACAGATTGGACGTCCATTGACCAAAATTTCGGAGATTCGGCGGTGGCGCCGAAGAACAAGACGACGGTGATGGTGGCGGCGGAGTCGGCTCGGAGACGGTGGTGGTTGCTACTGTTCGTACTTTTGCACCAGAGAGAGAGAGAGAGAAGAAGAAGAAGGAGAAGCTGTGACGATGATGATGATGATTTGATGAGAGAGAAAACGTATAAAAAGATAAGAGAGAGAAACATGAAGAAGAAAACGAAGGTTGGTTGAGATCGTGTTATATATAGGAAAACACTGAACCATAGGAGTGGGTCTGGACCGGTTGAGTTTCAAGCTTTGGATGTTGGTGCGTTGCTTGCTATTTGTTTGTTTGTTTTTTTTTTTTTTTTTGCAACAAATTTCTGTATTGAAAACAAGGTTTAAATGGGAAAAATAAATCTTAAAAAAAAATTCGGGTAGAAGCCAGTAGACCCACAAAGTGATTCAAAATTATCTTTCAATCAAAAAAAAAAAAAAAAAAAATCAAAATTGTTGCTATAAATTTAATATTTTGTAATAAATTTTGAATTTTAAGTTGAAATTTATTAATACAAATCTTTCATTTATTAGTTTTAAATTTTAAATGAAATGAAAATTAGGCATGTAAATTATCAACTCATAATAATGGTAGATTCAACGTGAGAGTTCTTAAATATATATGTGTGTGTGACAATCACAAAATTAATTACTTATAAATATTTGAACTCCGATGAGATTATAATTGAAAAATCTAAATGCAAATAAGAATGATTAGCAAACATACATTGAAACACTTGGCTTTCCTTATTAATGGATAGAGAGGTTTATTTACATATTCATTACAAGATTAATAAAAGATGAAATGCACCTATTAAATGTTAGATAATGTCTCAATGGGACCACATAATTAAATGTGGTGTTATCATTTATAAGAAGCTTACAATTTAAGTGATTCAATTTAGTTAATAGGCTTAAGGGTATATGTGTTATGGACCTAATGTGTAGATACTAGTTGTATAATTTCTATTTCTATGAGGGGCAGAAATAAAAATTAAAACATATTGGTTAAAGTTGGTTTTCATTACCTTTCAGTTTTAAAACCAATAATGGTTAATTTATTGGTTTTCATTACCTTTCAGTTATGAAAACCAATTACAACCTTTAAAAGGTTATGGTCCCTATTCCTTCCCAAGTGAAAAATAAGAACACTGTTTTGTTTTTCTAAATCCTCTCAAGGAGAAACATAAGGCATCAAAGGGGAAAGGATTAGAAGGCAATAACATAGTCAATATCAAAGGTTTTATTGACAATCAGACGCTTCCGTTTAATCGTTCATCGATGGATTCAGGTATGTTTTTTTGTCTTAATTTCTTGATAATACACATGGTAAATGATCCGAAACATGAAGTTTCATGTTCTGAAATTTATGTTAACAATAAAATGATAGCTAACATATTACCCCAATTTAAATTTTACATATCACCTATCCATGTGTAACTCCAAAGAAAATTTATAGTTTTAATAATCATAATTTTTTTGCCTCTTTTTTTTTTTGTTTGTGTTTTTGTTTTTTTTTTTTGTTTTGGAACAAAGGAATAGCAAAAACAACCGCAAAAACAGAGCATCAACTAAACTCCCACAGTGACCGTGCAAGGTTCGACGGCAGATTTGAAACCCAGTCCAAGGGAAGACAACCATAGAGCAAAGCTTGAGCCACCAATGAGCTGCTCTGTTGGCTAATCGAGAGGGCACCAACAGAAAGACACCCCCATAATCAGTCATTCCTTTAATATCATCAAACACAGCTACTCGTACGAAGAGAGTTTCCATCCAAAGGACGAGAAATCATTACTCTTCCAGCAGCTAGCACTGACTCAAACAATAGATAGAGAGGTTTATTTACATATTCATTACAAGATTAATAAAAGATGAAATGCACCTATTAAAATGATAGCTAACATATTACCCCAATTTAAATTTTACATATCACCTATCCATGTGTAACTCCAAAGAAAATTTATAGTTTTAATAATCATAATTTTTTTGCCTCTTTTTTTTTTTGTTTGTGTTTTTTTTTTTGGGAACAAAGGAATAGGAAAAACAACCGCAAAAACAGAGCATCAACTAAACTCCCACAGCGACCGAGCAAGGTTCGACGGCAGATTTGAAACCCAGTCCAAGGGAAGACAACCATAGAGCAAAGTTTGAGCCACCAATGAGCTGCTCTGTTGGCTAATCGAGAGGGCACCAACAGAAAGACACCCCCATAATCAGTCATTCCTTTAATATCATCAAACACAGCTACTCGTACGAAGAGAGTTTCCATCCAAAGGACGAGAAATCATTACTCTTCCAGCAGCTAGCACTGACTCAAACTAAAGTGATTACCAAGTTTTTGTAGTAAATCTTTATATTAAATTCGTTGACATATTAGTTCAATGCATTAAAAATAAAGTTGAATATTCAATCACTACAAGAATGACATATTAGGTGATAAAATAAATTTAGGATATATTACAAATATATCTTATGAAATTTGTTTAAAATAGATTGCTCTATGTGATTTAAAAAATTATAAATATTCTATTGTCAAAATTTTTTATTTAACAGAATTAACTAAAAAAATAAAATTCATGATTACTTTCCTATACAATAATAAAATTACTTAAATTATTAATTGAAACATATTTCCAACATCATTAAAAATTGTTAATTGACTCGATGATTTATTAATAAAATAGACTGTAATTTCCAGAATCATATAGGACAATTCGTATTTTAATCAAATTTCAGAAGTATATTTATAATTTACTCATAAATTTAATATCAAAATTTAGTTATCACGCCATTATTTTTTTAAACTTTCTAAAGCTTTTTTTTGTTCATAGTTCATTTACTAACTTTTATTGTGGCTATCCACATTCATGTTTGCATGAACATGTATACATTTATTTTCTCTATTAATTGGCACTCAATTAGTAAATTAAATGTTGGAGACTCCTTGTGCACGGGCTATGATTGATTGGCACTAAATTAGGTGTAATGCTGTGAAAATAATTATCAAATATAAAATGGGACACATATGTTTCATATAAAATAGAATTTACATGATGTGAGTTTTATATGCATAACCCATTTCATGTAAAATATACGTGTCACATTCTATGTTTAGTGATTTTGTTGTTAAGACTTATTGCTAAATTGGTGTTGAGATGCATGTATATCCATTGTCAAGAAATTGTAAAAGCACATTTTCCTAAGATATATAATATTGAGAGTAGAGATTAAAGTAAAATTTCAAAATTCAAAATCTTTGAAATTTAAATTTTGATTGAGTTTTGAGTCAAAACTGGATTTGAAATCTTCGTTTCACTTTTAAGAATAAAATAAAAAATATATGAAATGCGAAAGTGAGAAATATTTATAAATTTTCGTTCACCTCACTGGGTGTCACCCCCAGCTGGGGGTAGGAATCATTTTTCTTAGTGTTGAGATGCACGTATATCCATTGTCAAGAAATTGTAAAAGCACATTTTCCTAAGATATATAATATTGAGAGTAGAGATTAAAGTAAAATTTCAAATTTCAAAATCTTTGAAATTTAAATTTTGATTGAGTTTTGAGTCAAAACTGGATTTGAAATCTTCGTTTCACTTTTAAGAATAAAATAAAAAATATATGAAATGCGAAAGTGAGAAATATTTATAAATTTTCGTTTCTAATTTTCTTCATTTTTTTTCCCCTTCTTTATTGTTTACATTGTTGCAAGTTGCAATATAAATTACTAATTTAACAATTAAAACAATTTATATATATCCTTTTAAAAGGATATTGTTTTATAGTACATACATATGTGTGCAGGGACGAAATTAGGATTTTATTATTGAAGGGGCCAAAAGAAAAATATATTTTTTTCACCATATACACAAAATACACATGTATGTATATATGATATATAAATTATATATACATAAAAAAAATTTAAATACCATAGAAGCAATTTCTAATAGGACGAATAAGTTTTTTCTTTTGATGTAAAATAGAAAGATAATTTAAGATGGAAGAAGAATAATATATACATTTTTTTATACTAGGGGGGCCATTTTATATATAAAATGATGGATATATTTTTAAAATTCTTTGACAAATAATAATGTTCACAAAAATTGGAGAGCCATGGCCCTTCATAATCTTCTCTTAGTTTCGTCTGGTATGTGTTGTTCAACTTCTCATTTCATAGTCTCATTTGGCAGTGATTTATAAGTCAAGAAAATGTTATTAAAATCAAAATTCCTTCAAGAGCCTCACTGTCATTGACTCATTGCTAAAGCACTTGAATGGCATCACCTTTCTCCTGTTGTAGGGCACGATTGGCCAATATAGTAAAGCTCAAGGCAACCCCAACTCGATGCGGCATCTAAAAGGTACCCCAACCCCAATCCCAACTCGATGTATCATGTAGTAAAGCTCAATATAGATGGGGCATCTAAAGGCAATCCAGGCATAGCAAGTAGTGGTGGCCTGATCAGAGATAGCTAGCAGGATTCCGACGCAATATAGGCATCACTTCCAACATCTCTGTTGAGTTTTGGGCCCTTAGAGATGATTTGAAGCTTGCTGTAGATAAAGGACTACATAACATCACAATTGAAATAGATGCAAAATTACTGCAACAGCTTCTTCAGGATGATAATTGTTCTTGCCACCAACTTCACAATATAATTTATGATTGCAGGAACGTCTTGGACCAACTCGGGCATCCTCCAATTAAGCATATCATAATTCATACGGGAAGGGAACAAGTGTGCGAACACCCTTGCTAGCGAAGGAAGCGGGAAGGAGGAAGGCCTCCAAATTTTTGAACATGTTCCTTTTTGTATTAACAAAGCTGCTTCTTAATGATGCCAGTGGGGTTAAGTACCCTTGACTTATGTATGCTACCTTTTAATCTTTCAATCAAGTTTCCTTTTAACCAAAAAAAAAAAAAAAAAAACAAGTCAGTAAAAAATCTCATAAACTTTTGAGTGAGCAAAACATATTTGATTTTTTTTAGTCTAATTTATTGATTCTTTAATTTAAAAAAATAGTTTATATGTCACAACCAAAGCAATAAGACTAGAAATTTATTCACTTTGTTTGGTTTCAATTTTTTGAAAAATTAAGTTTTTTTGTTTTTTATGTTTTTTTTTATTTTTAGTGAATATTTTTAAAATTTTAAATATTTTTTTTACTTTTTTGGATACACCTTACTTAGATATATCTAAAAAATAAAATATTTATAAAAAATATTTTAAAAAATTAATAAATACAATATGAAAATGTACTGAATTTTTATTTATTTATTATTATTATTTGTATTTTTGGTATTTAATAAATCTTTTAAAGATTTTTTCAGAAATATTATACTTTTTAAGTATATTTTATGTTAGGTGTATCTAAAAATTAAAAAAATTATTTAAAATATTAAAAAAATGCATTAAAAATATGAAAAAAATAATTAAAAAAATAATAATTTTCTAAAAAGGGAAACCTAAAAAAGTAAAATGGAACATCATTTTCCATTGAGTCAATGCATTTCCCCCCCCCTCCCTCAAAGACTGAGTCAAGACAACTTCATCGATTCTGACCAGGTCAAAATCATGTTTGTAAAGAATGGTTTGTTTGTTTTTTTGCAGTTCCGTTTTGCAGTTCGAATGGCCTGAAATTCTAAAATGACGTCGTTTTGGCTTTATTTTTTTTTGTTTTTTATTTTTTATTTTTTTTTCTCTCTTTCCTTCGTATCACAGAAAAAGAAGAAGGAAGAAGAAAGAAGAAAGAAGAGAAGAGGGGAGCAGAGAGAGAGAGACCAACCAAAAATCAAACAAAAATCAAACCCAAATCAAATAGAGAGAGTGATACAGAGATCATCACCATCACACAAAAATCAAACCCAAATCACCCAACACAAAAGAGAGAGGGATACAGGGAGAGGAGCAAAGAGAGAGAGAGATATCAACCAAAAATCAAACCCAAATCACATAGAGAGAGTGATACAGAGATCATCATCATCACACAAAAATCAAACCCAAAACCAATCACAAATTCAACAAATCAAAATCAAAACCAATCACAGACCATAGAGATCAACTAAAAAAAAAATGGTAAAAATCTGAAAAAAAAATTCAACAGAGCATCATCATACGCAGATCGGAGGCGGAGATTAGAGATCGGAGGCTAGCGGTGGAGAAGAATCGGAGATCGGAGGCGGCGATTGGCGGGCGGTGCTCTCTTCCTTTCTGTTACCCCTTCCTTCTCTCTTTCTCTTCTCTCTTCTCCTCTCTCTATCCCTCCCTCGCTCCCTTTGTTTCAGATCTAAAAAGGGGAGGGGAAATTGAATCCAAAACGATGTCGTTTTGGATTCAGGCCAATCAAGCCGTGGGAAATTTGAGCTCTGAATCATTTTTCGTTTTTTTTGTGCTTAAAGGAGCAAGTAACACAATTTATAAACCATGCATGATATACAAAATTGGACTTAATTCGGGCTGGCCCAACTTAATAATCAGGCACTAGCCAGGTCTAGAGTTTGCCATTGTGGCCCTTTGAAGGAGCCCATAATTAAAACCCAAAATGCTTCTCAAATGATTGATTTGTTTTAAGACTAATATTATTAAAATAACAGCTCAATTTGTATCTGGAAGCTTACAAATTCATAAAATAGTTTAAATATTAGACAACATCATGTGAGATCTTAATTCACTTCGTTACATAATAAAATTCTAATGCAATAGGTATTTTCACTACAAGAAATAAGGGTTTTTGCGACGTTTTTTTAACGGCGTTTTCTTAAACGCCATTTTTATTAATAGTTAACGATGTTTTAAAAACGTCGCATATTTGATTAATTAAAACGACACTATTTTATGAGCAAAGGCGTTTAAAAACGCCTTCAAATGCGGTACGTCACACGCACTTATTTTGAATAGAATAAAGCCTTTGTAAACCCTCAGGTCTTCAGACATATCCTGTCACGACCCAAACTCGCCCCTATGGGTTTAGCACCGTAACTGGCCAGTAATCCGAGATTACCGAAGACCTGCTTAATAGTAATACAGTAAAACAGAGTACAGGGGCCTGGCAGAAGCCAATACAATAAATAAACAATGTCTAATGAGCTGTGACAGTCTGTATGCAAAAGACTTTTTCATACATATATGCAGTCAGTGACAAAACAGTATGCACATATATACAATCATTCAGTTCAGGGACCTAATCCCTATATAACAGTACAGTAACAGTCTATACAGTCTACAAAACAGTTACAGAGACAGACGGGGGAAATTAAAACACCCCTAAGCCATAGCTTGACAGGCTTGGAACCTCGCAGTGAGGCACAGTGGTTGGCTTGACAAAACTGGAGTTTAACCCCGACGCTTCTAGCCGCGGTCTGGTGCCTGTACACCTACATATATATATGAGCAGTGAGCTAAAGCCCAGTGAATAACATAATGCGTAAAGGGGTTTAGAATGAATGTCCTTACAGTAATGAAAACAGTTCATTAAACCAGTATTTCAGTCGTTCAGTCAGTACAGTCATATGTGGTACATCCATTAGCATAACAGTGCAGTAAACAGTAGGTTTTCAAAGACCGAACAGTCAATGATAGCCATCAATTAGTAAACAGTAGTGGTTCCAACAAGGGAACCGACAGAGATCTCTGTAACAGTAACAGTAGTTGCTAGGGATGCCACAATACAGTTCAGAATAGAGAACATACATTCATTCTATTAACAGTATCAATTCAGAAACAGTACAGTTCAATTGTTCAGAAGATAATCATTTTTGAACATATCTTTACACAGTTGTTACTCACAGAGTTCTGGGCTACAGTAAAGCTAGAGCGCGTCCCCAGTCGCCAACTCTACACAGTTTACAGATTGAACACATACTAAGCTACACAGTTGGGAAAGATAAAAACTTAATCCCTAATTTGCCTCGGTGTGTTCTACATCTATATCCTCATTAAGATGCCTTAAACTAGGCCTAAGAATGCCTAGGATGAAATGAGGATGCAAAGATGCACTTTAAAAGCATTTTCAGAATTTTTAGAAAACAGGGGTCCCGCTCGAGCGTAGGTTAATCCGCTCGAGCGGACATGCAGACAAAGGTTTCCGCTCGAGCGCATACTCAACCGCTCGAGCGTACTTCAAAATAGTCAAAAGTGCTGGACAGGTGAAATCCATGCTCGATTGGGCGCTCAACATCCGCTCGAGCGTAAGACACAAGGTCCCGCTCGAGCATAAATTACCCCGCTCAAGCTGACTTAAAAACAGAACAAAATGCTGGGCACATGATTTCCACGCTCGAGCGCCAGTCACCCCGCTCGAGCGTGAGTTCAAAATCTGGAATTCCCAGATCCGAACTTCAAGCTCAAAATCAAGTTTCAAACACCAAATTCGATCCTCTTGGGCTCATTTTCTGGAAAACACTTCAAAACTCATAGTTTAACATGATTCAAAGCTCAATTTGTAAAATCAAAGCCCAAAGGAAGATCAATTAAACTCATTTTCAAACCAAATTTCAAGAACATAATCCAAGCATAACATGCATGAGTTTAGCTAGCTTCCAAGCTTCCAAAACATGCTCCAAGGAGCCAATTCTTTTCAAAACAAGATGAAATCATGGACTTAACATAATTATGAGCATGCATGTAACATTTTGCCATGAAAACAACTTAAAACTCAACAATCCAAACATGCATGCATGAATTAAGCTATAATTCAACATGTTAGAACTAAATTATGACTTAGCTCCTCAATTAGACATGAACCATGCATGAATCAACTTAAAGACACAATCAAGAAGATGGAATTCATACCTAGGTTCCTTAATTACTAGTCTTGAGGTTCAATCTAGCAAGAACTCCTTTCAATTCCTTCAATTTCCAAGCAATTCTAGATGAAATCACCCAATCTCCCTATTCTCACTCTCTAGTCAGCAATAACAATGAATAAGGCTGAGGAAAATGGTTTGCTCAATGTATTACAAGTCTCAACATGTGTAAAGTAGTGGGCCACTACTATAGCAGTGTGGTAAATAATGCAACTCTTGTAATTTAGCACTATTTAATCTAATTTAATCATACCAATTCAGTTTTCAGATAAATACACTATAAAATCACATTAATTCTAAGGATCATAGAACATCAATTAATTTCGGATTCGGCCGGCGATTCAATTTGCAATTTAACCATAAAAACATGAACAGATAGAAATGTAATATAACAGATATACTTAATCAATTCAGTTTCAGATTCCAGTCAATCAGTTCAGTAGTTCAATCAGTTCAATTACCAATCATAATCAGCCTCAGTTTAGCAGTAATCAGTAATCGATCAGTGATCAGTGATGAGGGTAATTACATATCCTCACGTCGCCTCTTTCTCTCAATCCTCTCTAAACCCTTATCCTCACGTCGCCTCTCTCTCAATCCTCTCTAAACATTGAATCTCACATTCAAATCTCACAGATTCACTGATTTTGAAGCTCTACCTCCACCACCATCTGCACCGGCGAGGTAGCGAGATTCACCGATTTCATAAATTCACCGATTCAAATCTTACAGATTCACTGATTTCAGATCGATCTGCACCGCCACCGCGATTTCGATTCAGATCGGTCTGCACTGCCACCCCGATTTTGATTCTCTCTCTAGATCTCTCTCTCAGAGATTCATCTTTGATTTCATCTCATAGTGATTTTGATCTCTCTCTCTCTCTCTCTCTCTCTCTCTCTCTCTCGATTTCAAAGCTCCACCGCCACCACCATCTATGCAAGCTTCCATGGCTTAGCACCTCATCTTCTTATCTCTTCCACTTTGTATATACATATACACATATGTATATTTATCGATTCTCTCATGTACATACACGTATCTGTATAGACACTGATCGATAATGGAGCAGAGCTTCTTCAATTTGATCTATTTTCTGCACTGCCCAGGCCTCGCTGAGACATTCCTCGACGTTTTACTCTCCTCAGTCTCGATTTGGCTCGCTGTCATGATCGGCCTTGTTATCGGTTGGTCCTGGCGCCCTATGTGGACCGCTTTCCAGATACAAAATCTTTAGTGAAAGATCTACATCTCACTGGATTCAAAGCAATCTGGATCCTTTCTTTATTTGTTAATTGACAGCTACCAACAAACGAAGGAAAAATAAGTTCAAGGTCTTCCTGAAAGAACTTTTTGTGGTATGGGGACTGGTGTTTATAATACTTACCATTGATTTTCAGTGATTTTTGTTTTAAGTTTTAGCAAAAACCTTGACATAGAGGATCAAATGTGATGGCACAAACATGAATATCCTCATAAATCAGCCTTCAAGTTATTATTAGTTACACATGAGATATATCATTTATTTGGTACATATGTGTAATGGAATTATATTTGGTAATCTTCTGAACTATGTGAAATGATACTCATGGTTCCTCTGCTTGAATTAGGTTAGGGCTGCTTGTAAGTCCTTGCCCTTGACATTGTACCTTTACTTTTGTTAAGTTTTGACCCTGAACTATTTAAATAGCTATTAAACTTCTTTGATTGTTCTATTCTTACTGTTATATAAGAGAAGGAACAGTCTGCTCTTCGTGCACAGAGCAGCTCTATTAGAAGCAGCAAAAGCCAGGCTAAGATTGCTGAAGAAAGCGTGCCCAAGACTGTGAAGTTCCAACCCTTCATCAAAGAAGAAGCCTTAGTTAGCATACACAATGTATGTATAATTGTTTTGCACTATCCTTGAGTATTTAATTTCTTTATGTTTCGTGTTAATATTATCTATGTTAATTTCCCTCAGGATGTTTTCCTAAGTACAGCAGAGCAATTCTTTGACCTATTGTTGAATGATGACTCAAATTTTATAAATGAGTATCGTTCAGTCCGAAAGGACACTAACCTTACTGTAAGTACCAAGATTTTATGTTGATAATGTTTATTTGTCTTCTGAAATTTTATGTTTTCGATTGGTTAAATAGTTTTCACATGATGATCAATTTGAGAAGTTTTCAATTTTTAGCTTGTACTCCATTAAGATATTTGGTTTCTTCTTGCTAGTCAAGCAGAGTGCAGTAGTTTCATTTTTAACATCAAAATTTAATGCTGGACATTTAACTGGAAACTCCACATATGTTGTCCTAACCTTAGTTGTGACTTTCTAGTTACTGTAGTTGGTGTTGTTCTTTTTCATTAAACTTTTGCAAGTTGATAATTTTTGTACCCCACAAAATAACTTATAGTAAAAGTTTTGTTTCGACAACTTCACATTTTATGCATGCCCTCTGCAACAGTAAACGATTGAAATCAGTCTTAAAGATTAGTGCATGGTTTTAAACAATGGTATTAGAAGACGAGTCAATATCAATCGTGGTGTAGCAGTGTTGGGACTATCAAGCATTACACATCAAGAGTCGAATTATGCAGTGAATTTGTTAAAATTATCAGTAACCCCTCAAACTCAATGATGTGCTTATATATATATATATATATAATCATTTAACCTCAATTTGTCAGATTTAATCAATATTTTGATATTCTAAAATTAGAACATAAATTTACATAAACACAGTACTCTAGTAATGTAAACTTATAGCCCATGATCAACCAAGGTCAAGCCCCGCCATGAGATGTATCTGAGTTATTTAAACCCTAGGGATGACTGTAATTTCTGTTTAACAAACTGCTTCTAATTAATCTAAAATATTTTGTATTTTCTTTTATGCTAATTTTAGATTGGTCCATGGCATGATGCTGATGAATATGATGGCTAAGTCAGAGAGACAAAATTGACGGCCCTGTGTAACAGTCCTATGTGCCCTCCAGATACAGCAATGATAGAGTGGCAGCATGCTGTTTTGTCACCAGATAAGAAACAGCTGGTGCAACTACTTATTTTATGTCCTAATTCAATTAGTTTTCTGCAATATATATTTTTGTAATTAATTTCTCTAGTTTTTTTTTGGCTCTGAAATTAGATTGTTGCTGTAACTAATGCACTATACATCCTATATTCTCCTCCATTAGGTGATTGAGACTGTACAACAGGCGCATGATGTACCATTTGGGTATTACTTTGAGGTATCAATATCTTGGACATCTTTGTGGTTTATTATCTCTTGTGGTTGAACAATATATTTTTCTTTCCACTGCAATATGTTTTGTTGTGGATTATTTGTCTATATTACCTGATGGCAGCCACTTTGTGTAAATTATGCCAAAGGTTAGGTTTGTACCCAATCTACCGCTCCCCTCCCAAATCCCCATCAAATGGGGACTAAATTGGGTGCATATATATATTCTTTGAATGTGTGATATATGGGTTTTATTACTTTCTTATGCATGAAAATGAAGCACAACCCTGACTACTGACCTTTGATATAAAATAGGATATTTTTGTTATATTTTGAAGCATATAATGTAAGATCTCTTCTGTGTTTTCCCTGCTCAATGGGTCTGTTAAAATTTGAGACAACAATATAAATTGCAACTTCTCTTTATTTATAAACAAAAAACTTTAAGAAAGTAAAATAAATAAATAAATATAGGAAATTTGTTATCTTGATATCTAAAAAGCATTGTGTTCCATATGTTATTCAACTGCTATGTCGACATTTAACATGATTAGTGCATCATCATCCCAATGTTGGTTTTGAAAAACTTCTTAAAAATAAGCCCTTCTAGGCTTCAATACAACTTCTCGTCAAGTAGCTGAGGCATGAGCAACAGTTGTTTATTTATTTGCTGTTCAATTTATTTACCATTCATTTTGAGGTGGCAGGTTTGAATTTCATTTGGTGTCATCTGTACAAATTCATTCTTCATGTTCTTTTTAATTTCAAGTTCTTCATGGTTGTGTTCTCTGAATATTATGGTGGCATGCTTTCAATTGAAACAGTTACTGCTTTCAATATTTTATTTGATTCACTTTAAGCTGTGAGATTATTATGGAGCTGGGAGTTATGATGCAAGGCCCTGTCATAGTTTGTTAGCTTATTTCTTTCTCCTCTGGGTACCTCTTCATATAGATATGGTACTACTTGAAGGTCATGGGAATTGATAAGTTAAGATCTTGACTGAAGTGATTTGAGTTATTTATTTTTACACTGAACCTGTATATTGGTTTTTTCTTTGTTACCTCTATTTAGTCAAAAGTTGGTCGATTTCGGATCATAATTTTAAGTTCAACAAAACACATACGTCTGACTCCCACACATTTGAAGCGTAGGTTCTTTGGAGGGATGAATTTCTTCTTGTTGAAAACTTTCTTAAATTAAATGTTTTCCTTCAGCTCTTTATAGTTTCTCATTTTGTTGTGTTTATGGCTATGTTTGTCAGGCATCTCAAGCATTGTTGGAGTGGCTTATGAAAAAGCAAAAAGCTTTTGACCGGCAGGGTGATATGGTTGTTGCAGCTTGGGCTGAGCAGCAGCAGCATGAAATGAATCTCCGTGTGCACCGTCTTTTCCATATTTCTAGCATGAAATGGAGCTTCACCCTGCATTGATTTCTCCCGAGTGTGAGACAAGGTGTGAGTGTTCTTATGAAAAATTTCTACTTATTGATTTTATTGTTAGCATGCCTTCTGATGCTTTTATTTGCTACAGGTTCTTTAGCAAATTATAGGTGGGTTGTTAGCTGTATTGCTGAGGCCACAAGAAGCTCAATGTCCCCTGGTTCGGTGCATTGCTCGAGAGCTTGTAACTTGCTTGGTAATGCTACCTATTATGGATTTTGCAAGCCCTTGGTGAGTTCTTTTAGGACTTCATTTGTTTTTTCATGCAGTGTTTTATGGCAACCCTGTTGCTCATAAGTATATATTCCTCTGAATGTTTTATACCGTACATGGTCTAATTTGTAAGACTTGACAGAGAGAGAGAGTGATAGTAATCACTCTGTTTGATTATGTGTTTGTTTTTTGGTTTTTTGTTTTTGTTTTTGTTTTTTTCTTCATTTTTGTGTTTTCGGAAAACAAAGGTGGATCTTTGATCTTTGATGTTTATAGCAATCGGGTGCTCCATTGGAGATGCCATTAAAGTTATGTGTGTATATGTTTATTTATTTATTTTTATTTATTTTGCATGTGCATTCATGAGTGTTTCGCTAAATTCAGCAACAAAAACAAGAACTCTTTATATATGTATATCAAATCTATTTCTGTTGTATTAAGTTGTGACGCAGGTAATTTTTCAAATTTTTTATTTTTATTTTTTTTCTGGTCAGAAAAAACCACTCCGTTTGTATTAATGGAATTTTTTTTACGAGAAATATTTTAAAAAAAATCTTGATGCTTCAGTTATTTGTTGGGTTGAAGAATTGTGTTGAATCAAGAAGGGTTGACTTTTGTTAAATCTATTTTCTATAACAGCTTTAGATATGTTGCATATGATCTCTATAATTGAAATTGGTTTGATCTGTTTTTGCCTATAGTAATATAGCGATGTTTCTAAAGCGTCATAGAGTTATAGCGACGGCCGCATCTTCGACGTTTGGTGCTAAACGTCACAAAAAGATTAGAGGGCATTTTTGGGACCTATAGCGGCGTTTTTTAAACGCCTCTAAAACACTAATTTCCAACAGTGCCATGGTGAAAACGGAATATAGTTCTAGACTGGTTTAAAAGATTTTTGGTATTTAACTTTAATGCCCATTGCATTATTTCTGTGGTAGTAACAAAGCATATGGATTTTAATTTAACTGAACATGTAACCCTTGACAGAGCGGAATGATGAAAAAGAATTCATGTAGCCGATCCCACTTGATTGGGACATAAAACTTGGTTTGGTTTGGTTTGGATTGACTCATGCATTTTTTTTTTTTTTTTTTTTAAGGTGTGGCCATATGAATTGAGCATTTGGATATGAAAATTTACATCAATAAAGAGGAGCTTAGAGCTAAAAACAAGCTCCAACCTCCTAGTTGGTGAGGAACCAACGAGCATACAAAACAGAGAAAAAAACCAGAAAAAGCAGATAGCTTAGACACTAAAACACCAAAACCAGAACAGGCAATCAGCTGCAGCCCTACAACCAAACCACACACCAAAATTTGACACCAATGCTGCAAACCACACATCTCTGTTGAGATCTGATAGAATAGCAACCAAAACATTATGCAAGAGATACTTGTTGGAGTATACCAGCAGCAAACCCATTGTGACCAACAAAATTAGAGCCAGCATACACCTAATTGCTCAAGTAGAACTACAACCCCCAGCTGCCATCTGAAACAACTAAGAGCATCTCCAACCCACTAGGCATATGATGCTTGTTAGTCAAAATGCCTAATATGACTCACTTTTTTCAACTCCAATGCACTAGGCATATGCTTAGGCATTTTGGCTCAGCTCACATTCACTAGCTACATGTAGCTAGCCTTCAAGGCTAGGCAAAATGTATTTAATCATTAAGATTATTTCCCTCCATCTTTGTTGCTGACGTGGCATTCTATAAAGTTAATAGTATTTGGATGAATAGCTAAAATAAATAGCATGGTTGGGGTAGAAACATAAAATTGTTGACAGGCAAAATAAAATGTATACTTTATAGTAATATTTAGATAGGTAAAATACCTACTACCATTGGAGATGCTCTAACACTATAATTCTGGATCCTCCTCCTCTGCACAAACTAGCCCAGCTGAATGCAATCAACACCGTCTACTCCACTGCCTACCAACAATACCAGCTCAAGACAGAATGCAGAAGCAGCGCAGAAGCAGAATGAAACTGCAAAATTCCAGCAAGAATCAAACTGCAGAAAATTCAGAAGCAGCACAGAATTCAGAATTCAGCAACGGGGAGTTCCAGCAAATCAGCAGTCAGCATTCACCCTCAATGCATACCGAAGCAGCCAAGATTTGGACGAGGCAGATTAACACTGCACTGTTCAAAGCCAAAATTTGTTTCGAAGACACTGCTACCAGAACTTCAACCGAAGCAGAACCAACAGATTAACAAGCATATTTCAGCCCAATGCAGCAGCTTAGAGTAGATAGCAACAACAGACAGACAATGCAGTAGCTTAGAGGTAATGCAGATGACAGCATAACAATCCTACTTCAGCCCAGATATATGTCTGTAATGTTAAAGGTGTGGCCATATGAATTGAGCATTTGGATTATATTATGAGCAAAAAATGTCTAACTTAGCCATTTCATTGTTTTAATGTGTTTTGGTTAGTTATTAATTTTCCTTTTTTTCCATTGATGTTTGTGAATGTCTTGTGTATGGAGTACGCATATTTTTTGTTGTTACCTATTCAGATTAATTACTGGGAGTCTGGAACTCACCTGTTCTTTAACATGATTTTCAGTTAAAATGTGATATTTATCAAACGAAATCTAGCATTCCACACTCATTTTTAGCTTTTCCCATCTCTAAAACTTCAAATGTATCTCCTATGGGTTTCTGTAGCTGAGACAGAGGATGGAGATATCCATAAAGAGTATGTTGAGGAGACTAATCGACAAGCAATTGAAAAAGGATTCATGTAGCCGATCCCACTTGATTGGGACATAAAACTTGGTTTGGTTTGGTTTGGATTGACTCATGCATTATTATGTCTGTAATGTTAAAGGTGTGGCCATATGAATTGAGCATTTGGATTATATTATGAGCAGAAAATGTCTAACTTAGCCATTTCATTGTTTTAATGTGTTTTGGTTAGTTATTAATTTTCCTTTTTTTCCATTGATGTCTGTGAATGTCTTGTGTATGGCGTACGCATATTTTTTGTTGTTACCTATTCAGATTAATTACTGGGAGTCTAGAACTCACCTGTTCTTTAACATGATTTTCAGTTAAAATGTGATATTTATCAAACGAAATCTAGCATTCCACACTCATTTTTAGCTTTTCCCATCTCTAAAACTTCAAATGTATCTCCTATGGGTTTCTGTAGCTGAGACAGAGGATGGAGATATCCATAAAGAGTATGTTGAGGAGACTAATCGACAAGCAATTATGATTGCTGCTGCCAAGTTAATTGCTAACGACATAGTTCCTGAGGTGAGCATTTATTTGCGATTTTATAGAAGTTCGATGATGACACTCTTTTTGGTTGGGCAAACTTATTAAGAATTCTACATTTGGAAGATTACTATCACATAACTGGTTAGGAGTATGTCCTTGTGAGACTGCGGAAGCTGTTTAGTTGTCCAATCTAACCACATAAAAATGCATTGTAGATTGGTTAACTAAATTTTTGCTTTTCCCATTAATTGCTATAAAATAATAAAAAAAGAAAGTTTAATGGCTATTCTGAATACAGGATTATCTTGGCCCGGAGATCGTTTCCCATTTTGTGATGCATGGCACAAGTGTGGCTGAGATTGTGAAACACCTCATAGCTGTTTTAAAGAAAAAGAATGACGATGTGTCCAACATCTTTCTAGAAGCACTGAAACGAGTAATGCTTGGGACTTTGTGGTCTGGTTTGACCAATTGATATTTTTTAATTCCAAAATCTTATGCAGAAATAATAATTTTTCTGTCCCTGTATATGTGCGGAATGTATGGTATGAATTGGTGATATTATTGACAAATCACACCAGATAGAAAAAACTGCAATGGATGCCATGCATTGAGATTTACTTGAACATGGTGGTTGAAGTTCGAGAGAATTTTTTCACCATATGAAAACATGGTCTTACATTTAATTTATAATAATTTGGTTTTATTTTTAACGTCAGCTAGATATTAACTTTCTTTTATCTTGCGTTTGACTAGGCATACCATCGGCATATGATGGTAGTTTCAGAAAGCAATGATGGATCTCTTACTGGAAAGTCTTTTCAAGAATGTAAAGATCTGGCTGCTTGGCTTTCTGGAACATTCGTAGGTGCTGCTCGAAACAAGCATAGATCAGACATATTGAAAATTGTCAAGGATGGTATTGAGTATGCTTTTGTTGATGCTCCAAAGTAGCGATCTTTTTTGGATGGGGCTGTGGTCCATTTCATTTCCAAACTTCCTACACCTGATATCCTTGAAATGTAAGAGTGAATCTTTTTGACTTTTTCTTCTATAAGTTCTCTAACATATACGTTTGGAAGGCAAATGCTAATGCTCCATCACTGTTGCAATAGTTTGAAGGATGTCTAAAAACGAACAGAGAACGTGAATACAGACGGTATCTAAAATATATTTCCTCTAACTAAAATATATTACATTTTGTCACATTGCACTGTCAATTTGTATAAATTTAAAAATTATATTAATAATCCGTTACATAATTGGATCGAACATTGACGTGTAACTTACACACGGTATCTAAAATGTTAAGAAATAATTTATTATTAGTAATTGTGTTCTCAACCAATATTTATACTGGAATAACAAAGGTGATTATTTTGTAGGTACCTATAGGTAATCATATTTATTAGTAATTGTGTCCTCAACCAAAATTCTTTATTAAATCTTATTTAAAGAAAATAGATAGTGTGTAAAAGAGAGATGTACATAGCCATCAGCAACATTTAAATACTTGGCTATGTTTGTTTTTGATAAGTATCATCAAAACATTTAGCCATCAGTGGGGACATCGTTGATGATTCATATAATACATATTCTCTTGCTGTATATATCTTTTATCATTGTTTTAAATACATAAGGTAGTCCATTCAAATACTTGCTGGTCTCCCTCCTGTTGGATAAAGATTATGTTTCAAGGTTATATTGCAATTTTGGAGCTGAAGTCTGTTTTGGTTTGGTCATTTTTTGTCATATTTATGGGTAAATACATAAGGTTATGTTTATGTTTCAAGGTTACATAGCCATCAGCAACATTTAAATATTTGGTGAGTGGAAATAATTTTTAAAAATTCAAAAATATTTTTTTAACGTTTATTTTTGTCAAATTAGTTTATATTTTATCAAATTGACGACTTTGCCCTTAAAATTGAGTAATTGTATATTCAATTGTTCTTATTTGGAACAAGATTCAAAATTTAAAGTCAAATGTGTCACAATTGAAAAGTCAAGAATCAAAGTGACACAAGTCCTAAACTATAGGGACTGTTAGTGTAATTTGCCCTTTCTTATATTATCTATGTAAGTCATTCACTCTTTGTTCATATATACTTTAGAGGTTGTTAAGTAATTTCAGATTAGATATCTCTAATGAATCTCTTAATTATAAGGATTAAGTTAAATGGAGAATTCAAAGTCAAATAAAGGCAATTTGCAAGCATAAATTGTATGTTGGAACATTTTCATAATATATTTACATATATCTAAATGTATTTTTTAATTATATGAATTAATGGAGAGGTGTGTCTTTTGGATTTAAACCATAGGGTGCAATTATTAGATTTAAATCAAAAAACACGACTCTTGAATTTAAAAGGTATCACTTTTGGATCTAAAGGATACAATATTTGGTCTAAGGGACACAAACACATACATACATATATAAAGGCGGAATGGGTTGACAATTGGAGATACGTAATCCATAGAAATTTTATGAAATTCATCTCAATGATTCATATTGTTATTTTCCTATTCTACTTGGTGGATTAGAAAAATACAAATGTATTCAGGATCTGATTTTATTTGTGCATATCACAATCAGATATTAGTCTTTAGACTAGGTTTCATTGTATCTTGGAGATGGATTCGCATAAATTTTTTTATGTGTTTTAATAGAATTTTGAGTTGTACGTTTGGCTATGAGTTGTAAATTTTTGTATCAAATATCATATGTCACATCAAAAATTTCCCACTCAATTCAAAACTCTTTCACCAAACAAATTTTTCATACTTAAATCATAATTCCAAAACTCGCAAACCCAAAATACAACTTATACTCTCAAATCATATTTACAAAACTCTACCAAACGTAACCAAATTTTTTAAATTTGATCTATTCTTAAAATTCAAACCCATTTGTAAAAATAAATAAAATGCATTTTTTTTTTGTTACTATTAAGTAGAACTTCGGATATTAAGGAGTGGTTTGAGATGATCTAAATTACTGCACTTTTTGACTTTTTGTGAAATATAACTTAGGTTTGAAGTGATGTGGTAGAGAGGTGATGTGACTTAAATAAGATGATGCGACTTAAATAGGATAGTGTTTTTTTGACTTTTTTGAAGTACCCCAAACAAGACCTAAGATGTTATATTTGAAGTTCATTTAATCTGATCTATAACATAATTATCATAATAGCAACCATATCAAGGGCTCCTTTGGGAGGTTGGAATTTGGAATTTTTTTGGCTAAAATAGTTATAAAAAAAATAAAATATACTTTTTAGCTTAATGAGATAAAATATTACTTCAAACTCATAATTGTTACATTCTTTCTTTCATAAAAAGTCAAAAAACTCTTTCTAAACGAGACTTTTTAGTCTCAAATAAAAATAATTAAAAAGTTAAAAAATCAAAAAATCAATTCTACTTCCCAAACCAACTAGAAAATTATTAGATCTTATGATAAACCCCAAACAAAACGTATAGCATTATTGTCTCCATAATTTACACCAACAATTCTTGATAATTCAAATTTTTATGATCTGAATTATTCAGATGTATCAAAACATATTTGAAGTATTCGGACTATACAAATTCAAATTATCAAATATTTTTCAATTTACACTGTACAGGCAATAATTAATAATGATTGGCAAAAAAGAAAAGGGGAACGTCACCTTTTAGTTACCGCCAATTTCTTTTCTTTCCCTTGAGGAAGAAAAAACAATTTTCAATTACCGGTAACTTGCTGTTCCGGTTTGTACATAAGAGTTATCAGTTGGGGTCTGAGTTTATCTTCCCAAATTTCACAACTTGTGCCAACCTCATTCTCTCTCTTCTTAATCTCAACTACCACCAGATTAACCGTCAACCGCCGAATCTCCATCAGGACAACGAAATCCCCATTATGCCCTTCCACCTTCGCCACCCAATCCTTCTTCCTCACCGCCCTCAACCCCTCCGCCTTCGCCACCTCCTCCATCTTCCCCATTATTCTCTCCGGCGTCTCCGCCGACACGAATCTCTCACCTCCGGCCGATCCATCCTGATTGAACAAACCGGACAGATCGAAATCGGACGATAACGAGATGATATCAAAAGCATTTAAGCACTGTTTGTTGTTATTGTCCGCGTCTTTGTGATCAAAATCATCGGAAATGAATTTAATCTCTTTGTAATCTTTTTTAAACCACGGATCATTGATGATCTCGTCGACGGTGATGCGAGACTCAGGATTTGTATCGAGGAGGCGATACAAGAAGCGTCTGAGATCCGGAGACGTCCATTTAGGGCACCGAAACTCGCCTTTGTAGATCTTCCGATACATCACCATCAGATTGGGATCATTGAACGGTAGATAACCGGCGATCAAGATATAGAGTATGACGCCGCATGACCATATATCCACCTTCGCACCATCGTATCCTTTCTTCGCGAGAATCTCGGGTGCCACGTAGGCAGGTGTGCCACACAGCGTGTGAAGAAGGCCGTCGGGTCGGATCTGATCCTTCACAGCGCTGAGTCCGAAATCGGTGACTCGGAGCTCCCAATTCTCATCGAGGAGGAGATTCTCGGGCTTCAGATCTCGGTGAAAGACGCCGCGAGAGTGACAGTATCCGACGGCGGAGATCAGCTGCTGGAAGTATTTACGGCTGAGATCTTCGCTGAACCGTCCTTTGGCGACCTTGGCGAAAAGCTCTCCTCCTTTGGCGAACTCCATCACGAAGTAGATCTTCGTCTTCGTCGCCAAAACCTCAAAGAGACGAACGATGTGAGGGTGGCGCAGCCTGCGCATGATAGCGATCTCCCGCTTAACGTGCGCCGTCAGGCCTCCTTTCAGTACTTTTTGCTTGCTAACTGCCTTGATCGCCACGCTCTGCCCAGTCTTCACGTTCCTCGCGTGGTACACCTTCGCAAAGGCTCCGCAACCTAGCAGCTTCCCCAGCTCGTATTTCCCGAGCAGGTTCGCCTCCGGCGAGACATTGTTATATTGATCTACAATCTCCGGCATTACTCTATATCTTCTTGGTCAGAAACCTCTTCGCTTAAATTTGCATCAAACTACCGAAACACGAAAATCTCAACAAATTAATTTATGTATAACAAAAAAACCAACAATTTCAGAGAGTGTGAAACTTGTTTGCAGCTATGGATCTTTTTGTAGGGTAGGAGTCTTATCTTCAAAGGATGTTCAACAACCAGACGTGGTGATATGCAAGACTGATGATGAAACTTCAAGCTAGAGCTTGAAAGCGAATTAGACTAAGAGAGAAAAATATTTTAAAAAATGAACAATACAAAAATTCTTCTGTTTTGCTTGCTGGAGCTAGTTTTTGAGCTGGATTGGAATGAAGTTTTGGAGAAAAAAATTGCAGATTCTACAGTCTGTTTGGTTGTTTGTTTGATAATGGCTATTTAAAGGTGATTTTTTTTTTTTTTTTTAATGAACTGAAAGATAAATAATGTGAAAACAAAAGAACTCTTTTTTATAAGTTTATTATTACTATTAAAAAAAATTCAAACACGTTAGTTCTGTGGTTTGTGTGGATGATTGCTACATGAGGATGTATAGTGACCATCCACGTGTCTCGCGTTTATTCTGTGGCTGAAACCAGTAGTAGAAGATTGCTAGTCAATGATGGGGATGAGCCTATACGCTATGTGGTTCTCCAATGTCGATAGTGAAATGCACCTATCAGAGAAGAGTATCTAGCTGTTGTATTACTAATATGTCCCTACTGAATTTTTGTATGACGGAAAAGCCCCTGAGCATGTCGAGTTGTGGTTTTATGATTGGTGGTGGTATAGGAAAGGATATTGAACAGAATGATACAGTAGTATCGATGTCGGACACTTGTCCCTCAGGCCAGCTACGTTTCCCGGAGTAGTAGCAGAAGATCAAATTTTTTATTCCACGATTAAAATGTTTTTTCAACTCATTTTAAAAAGTGTGTGGATGTTTTGAGAGTAGATTATTTTAATAATTTTATAAAAGAAATTGTAAAATAATAAAAAGATAATATAATTAGAAATGGATTAAAAAATTAATAAGTATGCACCCAAACAACTTCTAAATTCAAGAGGTACATTTAACAGGTAAAAATAACATAAAATTATATAAATAAAGAGATTTTTTTTAATGGTAAAGGGCAATCAGCCTCTTTTATTCCCCACTAGCACTTGTAATAATAGCTAAATGATTTTTTTAATACTAAATTATTCAAAACTTTAAATATAACTCATTGTGTTTGTTACTTCTTCTAATTTATTTATGAATATGAATATTTAATTTCAAAAGGAAAAAATAACATGGTCAAATTTACGAGGTGATTGAATATTTTGTATATATTGGTCACGTGTGGGCTATATTGTCATTGATGTATTATGGTAGAATGCATTTCCACAATGTTTTAAATGCCAACTGTACGGGGAGTAAATATTCCGGCAAGTCCGTACTCCTTTCTTCCGAGCTCCGTCTCTGTCCGATCACCTGCGAGCCAATAAGGGTGAGCTACCCGGCAGTGTGTGGCCGAAAAAACCCTCCGACGATCAAGTTAGCACACACCTTAGGATAGAGAGAGAGAGAGAAGAGTGTTTAAGTGTAAGAATTTCTTTACCAAAATGTTCGTGTGTCGCGTATGGGGGGCGCAGACATGCTTATATACCCTCTGCGCCTCATATCCACTCCTAGTCATCTCCCGACACGTGGCTCTACTATCCCATCTGTCAACATAAACCTTGCTGAACATCACCTAATCCCAACTGCCTGCCCTCAGTTGGAGCTCGGTAGCCGAGCTTCTCTATCCACGACCGTGCAGTGCTTCATACCCAAGCACTTCACAGGCTAAGCCCAGGGAGGACCGGGCTAGGCAGCATCTCGGCAAAGCCGAGCCCGGGGCACCTCTTGTGGTTGGCTTTCCTGCCGACCAAACGGTCACCTCGGCTGACCACGCCTTTCCGGGCGCCGGTCACTCAGCTTGTCTGGCTTCCACCATCCCCTGATCAAGCAGCTCAGTCCAACCGAGCACTGTATTGCCGAGCAGCTTCTTTACGGTCTGGGGCGGTCCACACTTGGCCCAATTTCTGCCCGGCCCAAGTTCTGGCAGCCCATCTCCGGGCAGATAGTCAATCATCTCGGCCCCATGCACCATTGGGCTCTCAACCTGCTCGGCCGTTACCTCGGCCCAATTCCAGATCATAAAACCCCCTCTCAATTGCCCCTTAATTCCGTCCGCGAGAGCGTGACTGGGATTACCTATACTTCGACCGAGGTAACATTTCTTTGGTCTTCAAGATGACAAAGGGCGACCGGGCTAGTTAACATAACTGTCTGCAAACTTGCCCGGTTATACTTCTCGGCTGACGTCCTCTTCTTCGAAAGTAGCCCGGTTGGCTCTTCGACTCTTCAACCTATCTCTTCAGTTCTGACGTCGCCATAAATGGGGACACGTGGCGGGCTGCCATTGGTTCTCGAGCAGCCAACCCGCCGTTTTTGCCAGAGTTTGAATTTGGGCGGTTTCCTCGTCTATACATACGAGCCCCCTCTTCCTCAACTCGCTCCTACTGCTTCTCTTCAATTCGACGTTCCAGAGCTCAAGCAACTTTTCCCCAGCCTCGTCTGCTATTCTTCGTGTTCGAAGGAACTGTTCCCGCCTTTGACGGGTGAGTCCCTCGACCCCTCTTTCGTTGCTATCTTCTTAAATATTTCTCACATTAGGGCATTAAAACATAGTTCTTAGGTCGTAGCCACAGCAATCATCCAAAGCTTGCCACTGTTCATGGTGTTCTTCGTTTTTCATGAAGAACACTGAAGAACTGGGGCGGACCGGGCTCCTGGTCTTCTTTTGATCCAAAAAACCAATCTAACCGAGCAAATAACATGTTTGTCCCAACCCCAGCAAAAACCGAGATAACAAAAGGAAATGGTCGCTCAACTGGGCTAACAACTGGCCTGCCTGGGCGACCGAGCTCTTTAGTTAGCTTAGAAGACCGAGGTGGTTTGGCACCCTTAATGACCGAGCTAAGGTCCAGCTCCTTCCGCGCGACCGCGCTCACACTTACACTTGCCATCCTTTTCCTGCAGAGTCCAAGGGGACCACTGTCCATTCCTCAAGCTCTCAAGACCAAGCAATTACCAATTGCCACTGTGCCAAACACCTCAGCCGAGCTACTTCAGTCCGGCCACAAATGGGGAAATTTCGCTTCCTAGTGGATACTCCGGCCGCACTAGCTGCATTCAGAGAGGAGTACGGCATCCCGGCCGACGTCCATCTCGAACTGGCAGAAGAGGAGACAACACCCTGGGGCAGACTAGATCAATGCCCCTTCACCGTGCTGTCAATTGTCGAAGGAGGCCTCCGTTTCCCACTAAACCCACTTATCACCGAGTTCCTCTGCCGCACCGGGCTGGCACCCACCCAAGTGTCCACCAACACTTATAGAATTATCAACAGCGTTCATGAATTGAACAATCGGCTAGGCACCAACTTAGGTCTAGCCGAGATATTGAGGCAATACACAATGGGTCACACCAGTGACGGCCTAGCTTATTACTTGAAAATCAGGCCGGGCAAGGAAAAAATTGTAACCGGCACCCCGGATAAAGATCTGCACGACGACGATTTTTTCTGGGTGTCGGGCAATTACGAAACAGCCGAGGTGCCGGGCTGGTTTATAAACAAAGACTTTGGTTCCTCATGTAAGCCGTTCAAACTTGCTCGGTTAGCTTACCTCTTTATACTGTAACTAACCGGTTTTCCTGTTTCTTTTGCTGCAATCCAAGCCTTGCAAGCCAACTATCAATTTCCCAACGTCGAGGCAATTCGGACCGTGCTTCGATATTCCCACCGAGATTGCAACGATTTACTCGATTACACCCCGACCTACAGGTACTCTGCTCCGCGCCGGAGTCGAGTAACAGACTTCCTCCGTGCTCCTTCGCCACCTCCAGACCCTACCCTTCTTGACGTCTCCTTAATTCGGTTAACAGACGAACAAGAAATGGCCAAAAGAAGCCGAATCAAAAACCTTCTAACCGCAACCTCGACCGAGATACCGAGTGTCATCGCCCGCTCCCCGGCTGCCGGTCAATCGAGTGCCGCTGTGGTCGCTTTAGCTTCTCCAGCCGCCGGGCAGTCTAGCCAAGAAACACGCCGGGCTGGAAAAAGACCACGGGCAAATCCCTCTGCCGAGCTCATCACCGAACTGGCAACCGAGCAACCTGTCGACAGGGTCAGCACCATCCCAGCATGGCGGCCGCAGCTGAAACACCGGGGAAAAGAGATCTCGGCAAATGCTTCGGTCAAAGGCGACAAGGAGCACTTGCTTGCCTTTGACCTCTCAAAGGCTTTGCTGCTGCCCAACGACGTGGTTGGAAGCGACCACGTTCCTAACACCCGGCTGGTCAAATCCGCCGTGAAATCCATGACCAGCGTAAGAAGTTCAATCATCTGCTTCAATTTTCGCAAGTGTTTGCACGGTTTCTTCTCTGATCAAATTCTCATTTTGCAGGCCATCCAAAAGCAGCACTTGGTCATGGAGCGCATCCACAGACTTCGGCAGAAGGCGAGCGATACCGCCAGCCAAGTCGAGAGCCTCCAAGCCGAGCTCGGCCAGGCAAAGTCTTCACTTGAGATGGCTAACGCCGACAACCACAGACTGCTCGATCAGCTGGATGCGGTCGAGAAAAAACGGGATGAGCTCCAGACCGAGCTAAGCAAGCTCAAAAAGTCGCAGAAGAAAGACTGCCGGGCTGCTAACAACGCCGGCTTCAACGAAGCCGAGTAGAGCTACAAAAAACAGGTCTTTGCCACACAAGATATTTACTTCAAAGCCGGCTGGAAGTCCGCTTGCGAGCATCTCGGCCAAGGCTCTAACACCGACGTATTTGCCAATCCTCCTCCTGCTTCGCTACTGGTCTACCTCGTGCCTTACGCAAACGACGTATTCAGCGTTTTGCAAGCGGAGGCCGAGGAAGGACTTGAAGAGGGAGATGCTGAGACAGAGGAAGAAGAAGAAGATGCCGAGGTGCAGGAGCAGCCCGACCGTGACGAGCCCGGTGCCCAAGACACAAGTCCAACCATCAACCTTGATGCCCCCGAGGACGAGTTTACCAATCTCTCCCCCTTAGTTTAGTTTTCTTCTATTTTTGTATTTTTGCTTTCGCGCTTTTGATGTAACCGGGCTCTGTCCCCACCTTTTGTATTTACTTTCTTATCAATGAAAAACTCAGATTTCGCTAAGTGTTTGCACGGTTGTTATCGATTCCATCTTCGGCAAATCATCTCGGTATTAAATCATAGATTCAACACCACCTTGTCAACCGGAATTCATAACTCGGTTGAAATACTTAGAACAAAATGAATTCTTAAACCGAAACAACCATCCCGGTTGGTAATAACAAAGTTGAACAAATCACCAACTCCTCCGACCAGAGTAAATCATCTCGGTTGGGAATCCGC